GAAACTCCACACAGACAGCAACCTGAGCTCAGGATTGAACCAGGGACCCTGGAGCTGTGAGGCAGCAACACTGCACTGACCCATGCCAAATTCAAAAGAATTCAAATAAATGTGTCACTTAAGAAATGTATTCAAGTCTACACCGGAGAAACACCTGACCATCACACCCATATGAAGTCCTTCCCCAAACTGTTTCCACAAAGTTGGCAGCACACAATTGTATAGGATGTCTTGTAGCATTACAGTTTCCCTTCAGTGGAACTAAAGGGCCCAAATATGTTCCAGCATGACAATGCCCTTGTGCACAAAGCAAGGTCCTTGAAGACATGGTTTGCCAAGATTGGAGTGGAGGAACTCTAGTGGTCTGCACAGAGCCCTGACCTCAACCTCACTGAACACCTTTTGGATGAACTGGAACACTGACTGCACACCATGCCTCCTCACCCAACATCAGTGCCTGACCTCACTAATGCTTTTGTGACAGAATGGACAAATCCCCACAGCCATGCTCCAAAATCTATTGGAAAGCTTTCCCTGAAGAGTTGAGGCTATTACAACAGCCGGGGGGACTAAATCTGCAATAGGAAGTTGAAAAAAAGCACGTGTTCAGGTGCCCACAAACTTTTGCATATAGTGTATGTTCTATATAGTAATACTTTTTGATTACTACATAGTAAAACTTTGACATAAAATGCACAATTTGAACTTGTATGTAAAATTATTCCTACATCCTCCAGTTTGCACACTACATTACATTTTTGTAGTTATCTTTTTTATACTTGCATGTGTATTATTGATCCTAGCTAACTACCTTAACCACCTAGCTAACTTGCTACCTAACTTTCTAAATTTCTGTATTGTGTATTTTTAATTTAATGTACCATCTCTGAGACACAGATATTTCCCATGGAAATACACAATAGAACAATACTGGAATACAGTGCAAACATTAATATAAGGTACATAAAATAAAATTAAAAAAGTTATAAAACTAGAAAATAATGTACATGCAATTCCAGACACACAGCTAAAGACCTCAAAGGCTTCAGATGTTTTGACAGTAATCGACACAACAACACTTCTAGTTGATACCATGTTAGCTATGGAGTGAGGAAACCTAAGGAGAAGATAATACTCTCCGTACCACTATGGAAAGCCTTTGGACAGATGTTCTTTAAAATTGAACATCAGCCCATTTGACCGCTTAGCAACTATGGCCATAGCTGTGGCTATAAAGCACAATTACCCAGATCCAGGCATGAGTTGTTGGTTTAGATTCAGTGTTCTTCCTTACTGGCATTACTGGTCTAACTCCATAGATTTGCAGATTTCAACCCCATGGAAATCATCCACATGCAGGTTGTGCAGTATCAAAGCTTCCTTAAGAACATGTGAACTTGGCTGAGAGACCTTGAAGCAACCGATGAAGCAATGCGCCTTCCATTAATGTGTAAAGAGTGTGGTGCTGGAGAGACATAAGAGATGTGTGCTCTCTATTAAAGTCAAACTTCCTCTAGTGTATTGTGACCTGTGTGTTGTTTCTTATGCCCTGTAATTCAAGTTGGTGCAGTGGAATAATAAAGCGTCTTTCTGTGATGATGTTCCAACACCATAGCTCCAGGCAGAAGCTTAGTCTGCAGCGCACAGGATCAAAAAAAAAAAGCAAGCCAGTGAAAATGAGAAAAGTGGCCCCGCTGTAGCCCAAGGTAGGGAATAAATTGCAGATGATAACTAGCAGTGCCAAGCACAAACAGCATAAGAAATGGTTGAAGATTCTCTCCTCTTATATCAGACTCAAATCTGGCAGGTCTGGCCATTAAAAGAATTATTTCATGCTGCTAATGTCAATTTTGTTTTATCAGAGAAAAGGTATGACAGACTCTCTTTCACTCTGCTCAAACATGGCCAGATTATGCTTTTTAAATGACAATGGAAGAGTTGTACAGTCCCTAGGAACAAAATATATGTTTATTTTTGCCACTAACCTCTTGAACTTGCAAGACTCATTGCCTGGTTCCTCACTCATGTAACTACATGTACGTAAATGCATACATATATGTGTCATGAAGATTTTCCCATGGCAGAAAACTTACTGACTGTTAGACAGCTAGATTCCTTCCATAAATGTCTCCTTACAAAGACATCAGTGATTATGCTCTTTTTGTTAAGAGGAATTTAAAAATGTGTTTATTATTAGTTTTAGATTCTGTGGAGCATCCACCATACAGGTCCCAGTGGATTAGTTGTTACTACAGAAACGATAACCTATTAGAATAAGCGTGTAAATATAATCCTTGCAGAAAGCACTACAGTCAGAGCCATGTCGTTATAGAAAATTAATCAACACCTTCTGGCCAATCAGATTCCAGAATTCAACAACAGTCACCCATTAGGCCAACTGATCCCTGAGTTTACTCTCTGCTATGTTCAGCGTCCAAACCCCACACCCCCAGCAGCAATCTGACATGTGGAAGTCTATAGTTTCAAAGGCCTTAATTTATACCCAGTAAATTAATTTCTTTTTTTATTTGAGTGTTCTGTCTATCTTTAATTTATGCCTGCACTGTCATGTACATTAAATGTTATTAAAGTACAAATAAAACTTTTATTATTAGTGCACCTGAGCCAATGATCTACAAGCTCGGGGGAATGCTGTATTAAACGAGACAACTCCTGCTGCATTATGGAAGTGAAATTCAGGGATAAAGACTCAATCACAGCCCACAAGTGAACAAATAGGACAATGGCTTAAAATCATAACCACCGCAGTGACCTTTTTTAAATGACCTGGTGAAAAGAAAATAGAGGATTTCTCTCAGTGACACAATTTCAACTCATGTCAATTTAAATTGACATTAAGTAATGACCACAAACTTTCATGTCAAGCCCTGATATATAAAATATAAATCCCTGATGCCCATCTGTACTTCCACCTTGTAGAAGCAAGGCTAATATGTAATTACATTTTGATATTGATTTAAAGCTAAAGGATGTAAGATTTTGGACTTTGACCCTATCTGGTAGAAAAATACTATTGCAAGCTACTTGCGAAAGAACATTTCATAACATGGGTTGTGTTGTGCTATTTACCACTGGCTCTCTCACAGCTATGAGTGTGCAAATTCAGAGAGATTTACGGGTTGCAACCCCAACTGGATATTGCACACAAACTACAGGGTGTCCCAAAAGTCTCCATACATAGGGGAAATTAACACTTTTTTGGCAAAATGTCTTCCAAAAGTTTTCATACTTAGTTTATATTATACAGGTGCTGGTCATATAATTAGAATATCATCAAAAAGTTGATTTATTTCACTAATTCCATTCAAAAAGTGAAACTTGTATAATGTATACATTCATTCCACACAGACTGATATATTTCAAGTGTTTATTTCTTTTAATTTTGATGATTATAACTGACAACTAATGAAAACCCCAAATTCAGTATCTTAGAAAATTAGAATATTACTTAAGACCAATACAAAGAAAGGATTTTTAGAAATCTTGGCCAACTGAAAAGTATGAACATGAAAAGTATGAGCATGTACAGCACTCAATACTTAGTTGGGGCTCCTTTTGCCTGAATTACTGCAGCAATGCGGCGTGGCATGGAGTCGATCAGTCTGTGGCACTGCTCAGGTGTTATGAGA